GTGGTGGAGGGATCTGCAGTTGACACCTGGCTTGCTTGTGCATTTGGAAGATTTCATTGGGATTTAGTCGCAAAGCTTGGAAGTTGACTGAGTTGTCTCCGTTGGAGCTAGATTGGTTATATGTTATACATGGGAACAGCAGTTTTCACAGTTGTTCAGAGGCTGTGTTTCAAATCAGGGCCGACACCTGTTTCATCCCATACACCTGCATGCATTCTTGATGACCTGTAGGGACATGGACACCTTCCTCAAGCGTCGTTCGGCCAGTGAAAAGATTTGATGGATCCAGAGTTCATCCAATGTTCATCCATCTTTAAAAAGGGTCACCAGCTGTCACAGTAGCACAGTAGCTGCCACCAGTGTTTTGTGATTTTCTTCTCTCCCCACATCAGGTGCTGCAGCAGCTCAGCTTTTGTTACTTGGCCTCTGGTGACTCTGCCCGGGCTCTGGAAGAGTTGGAGCCTTGGAATCACACGACTCACCAACCGGGAGGGGAGCGAGAAGGGGAGCCAACGAGACGAGCCAACGAGACATAGTCAGGGAGCCGAGGACTTACTGATCATAGTACGCTTTACATGTTGACAATGATGCTGTGCCGGGCCTGTCCCGGGCGGAGCTTATAAAGGTAATGGAGTAATGGATGCCTTACGCCCTTCCTTTATAAGCAGAGGGTTTGCCGAGTAGACCTGATGAGGATCCTCGAATCATCGGGAGCTTTCACCTCATTCTGCAGCTGACGAACTGCATTCTATGGTGCAGTTTTGCGGTCAAGTGCAAGAGCTCTGCATCAGATTTCATACACCTTGAGAATTCTAGGAACCCGTTGGGCCCACATTGGGACCCTCCCCAAAATCCAAGCCAAACTGGCGGACCGACGCGCCGTTGGCCGGACCCGAGTGGCGTTTTGCTGCGCGGACCGTTGGGGACCGCTGGGTCGGAGGAAGTGAGCCGGACCATTCTGGAAAAGCTCGGGATGCTGCGAACGGCGCAAGGCCTGGACCCTGGACCTTGCGGTGAGCGAGCTCGGAGCGGCGCGACTGAAAGCGCCAAGCATGTTCCAGTGGGTTCCAAAACACATCCAAGAACGGTTCAGCGGACCTAGGAGAATGATATACTGGATAGTATATTTGCAGGTATCCCAGTGGTCTATACTGGTCCGTCTTTCTTTGCTGTGGCTTGCTGTGCTTTTCTTCCACTGCTTCTTTTTAGGCGCATTGTTGGCGAAACGCAGGGCGCAATGCTATTGCAAGCTCAAGGATTCGACAAGAGACCTGGCATTTGAAGGCTTCGCGCAAGACACGGCTTGAGCCCCATGAACCCCTAGTCCCATGGCCAGTTTAGGTTTTGGAGTTGGCCTTTCATGCAAGACCACATGTTTGGGTGGGTTCTCAGTTGCCTTACACAAGCCTTTGCTTGATTTGTGCGCCGCTTCCTTTCGCACGTGAAGATGCTCTTGAAACAAGCAAGATGGAATCTTAAAAGACTGACTTCCGGATGATCCTCTCTCCGTGCCAATGGAACCCTTCCCTCATGTTCAGATCAACTCATCTGAATCGCAACGCCCACGGCCGGTCGAAGCCAAACCGGTCGCACCGCTCGAACGCCCACGGCGCCGAAACACGCAGCTGCAGCAGCTCAGAGCGCGAAACGGTGTCACGGAACAGGACGTCCGATGGTGGCTTCTCCAAGCAACCATGAATCGGAAAGAATTGCACAGATGAATTGCACAGGTGAGATGACATGTTTCGAGATGTTTTCCATGATTGCCCAAAGCCTGCTGGGGAAGAAATCTATATATTGAGGGTTCATGTTTAACGTGTTTCTGTTCAACTAATAGACAGACATATATCAGTTGGGTTCATGCACCCTTTAAGCAAAATCCTTTAAGAGCGCCACGCGAAATGAACCGCGTGTCGACACGGCCATGAGGAGAATTGCAGAGCTTGCGCGAGGGCAAAGTCTTCATGGAGGACATGCGGGGCGTTTCAAGTGGGCTGAAGGGACTTTTGCTTTCCAAACGTGGGTGACACTCCTTGATGTCTCATCCATGGAAGGTGGAATTCACATTGGCCATCATTGGCCATCCTTTCGGGGCCATGCATGGTGCCATTCTAACCATATGTCATCTCAGAAAGTGTCATCTGAATACGGCCATGCTCTTGGTGTTCGGCTCTTCAGACCTTTTCAGAATGAGTGATACGGCACCAGTGATATTGGAAGAAGTTGGGCACAGGTTGTTCAAAAGGATGCACGAAGTCAGTGCTCCATGATCTGCCAAAGCATCCCCCTTCTTGCTTAAGATTGTTTCTCAGTAGCCTTGTCCATGTCAGTCAATGTCAGTGCCTGTTTCGTGATGTGAGGAGTGTGGGCAGTTGCGCAGCGAAGAAGGTCTCTTGCAGGACAAGTGGTGGTTCAAACAGTTGGATAGAGAGCAATTCTTATAGAGAACCTCAACATTCATGTTTTGTCAAAGGCTTTCCAACAGTCAAAGTAGACGACAATCTATCCCAGAGAAGTTGCGTAATGTAGACTCTTGATTAATACCCCCCCATATGAAGAGGATTTTCCCATTCAAACGGTGGGGTTATTAATCAAGAGTCTACATTAGTTTTCTCTTGTTTGTAGTTATTGTGGTTTCCTGACCTCGCAACGATTTTAGATCTGAATTTGTTCCCCTTACCTTGCGGGCAGCCTTGCAGATGACAAGAGGAGCCCTCCACTGTCCTTGCGATTCTCTGCAAGGTTGCACGGAAGTCGAATCTTTCCCACCCCGACAACGCACAAATATCCTTCTCAGGATCCAAGATGATTGGCTTTCAAGGAAAAGGATTGTCCCAGTGTCCCAATAGTGATCCGAACATTCTATCAAAGTCCCGAAGGTTCAGCTAGAGGGTTTCTTGGGGAATCCTGAAAGTTTTGTCCCAAACACGTTGTGCCGCGGACAGCCAAGTAGATGGCTTCTTCAGAACCAACCATCCACAATTTGTTGTAGATGAAGCGTCACTGGTAACTAGACATATTTTCTGAAGCGGACCGGGCTCACACCGGGATGACAGAGCGATTGCCTTGCCATCAGCAGGAGTCAAGGGGAGTATGGAAACCGAAATTCTGCCAAGGTGTTGGAATCTTGCTTGATCTGGGGAGCGCCTTGCTCGATGCCCGACAGGCCGGTTTGCAGGCTGCCCTGGTTTGCAGGGGGTTCATCTTCCAACAAAGAAACATTCCATGTACTTGTAGCGAAAGCCGCATGTCCAAAGCTTGATTTCAGAGTTGGTTCATCCTTGTTCTTTTTTGCTGTTTGTTGCTCAATACCCAGGGACTTGAGTCATGGGATTGTGTTGGTGCCCATGCTTGTGTGCCTCAGTGCTTGCTTCTGTCAGCGCAACGTGATTTCTGTCATTTCTGTCCGAATGGGCAAGCAGCCACGTAGTAAGTATATGCTTTTACATTTATATATAGTTCAAGATGAAGGGATCTCCTTCAAACTTTGGGCGTTCCTCGCCTGATAAACTAACCCGCAATTTGGGGGCATTCCCCATTTGAGACCAAGAATACCGACTTCACATTGATGTGTCTTGATGTGTCTCGATGTGTCCTGGAGATGCAGAATTTCACCGCTTCCAGCTTGATCCCGGCAGGATGAAGATGCTAATCACGTTCTCGCTTTGGCTGAGGAGATTTGCCTAGAGAAGAACCTTGAGGAGAGGGGCCTTGACTGCGGGGCCTTGAGGTCTCGGCCACGGAGTCCCCAACATTTTGACCCACATCCACAGGACAGCTCGCTCTATGAGTTGGTGAAGCAACGTCTGAGCCTTGCGCGCGGCACACGTTCCTCCTATTGCGGCATTTGCTAAGCAACTTCCGCCGTGTTGGGAGCAGGTGATGAGTGGTGGGAGTGTGACGAAGGCTTGGGGTGAATGACGAAGGCTTGGGGTGTAGGCATCCTTGGTCAGTTTTCATGGCGAAGAACGGGGGATGAGGGCGGCAGCCTTCCCCTGAGATGGACTGTGCGAGTAGTCGATCCACACATTTCGAGGTCGGACATCTTTCATCATCTTTCCAGTTCGTGAGATGGGTTCAGTGAGCTTTCTGCGAGGTCCCATCAAAGCTATCCACCATCCACCCACTTCCACGTTGAAATTCGTTCGTCTGCTGCGTTTGGCATCACGGCATACGTGGGGCAAATCCTCCTAGCCGAGGATGTAGAGGTGAGCCTCCCTTCAATATGAGCAGACAATCTGGCAAGTGTTCACCAACCAGTGTGTTGGAATGTTTGATGTGCAACCTATGCAAGAGAATTATATAGACAACAATGACAAAGGATGTAAAGGGGCAGACCGTGACTTTTGGCTTGTGGTGTGATTTCTACTTTATCATACTTTTCATGTTATTTTCTACTTTATTAACTTTATCTACTTCCATGTTGTTTCTCTTGAAACCATGGTGTTGGCCGGAGTCCTCGCGACCCGCTCTCCCCCCGTTCTTTTTTCATTGGCGAGACAGGTGGTTCGTCCGCCTGAAGCCTTGGAGCCTCCGTCTTGCCAAAGTCGCGAGAGTGAGGAGATGTGTCCTTCCCCCAAATGGTTTGCTCGTGCGCAACGGGGAGCTCGCTTCAGAGCAGGAGAAAAGCACCATCCGACATCGGGGGGTCACATCGTAGTGTTGTGGTAGGGTAGGCTTTGCTACCAGAAAGAAGCATCCGAATGGTGAGCCATGCTTGCTGAAGTTGCACGCTTCGAGAAAGCTCCGTTTTATGCAGAAGTGTTGGGCGGCGCCATCCAGTATTCTTGGGTGGACAGATGAATCGTTTGAGATGGCTAGCTGCCTCATCAGCCTTTGGCAGGCCAGAGGCAAATTTGGGATCAGCCCCACCCTGCTTGACATGGCTTTTGGACCAACTCGCCAGTCTTCATCTTCTTCTTCCACCCCAACAACTTCCAGGTTTTTGAATGTTTTTGAGGGTGTGCCCAACCCCTTCACGGCATATGGGCGCATTGGAGGTACCCAGCTACTATTGCCTCTATCAGCCTTGGCTGCCGATGTGTATGGCACAGCCGCAGCAATCCCCATCGGCAAAGCAACTCCCTAGCGGCTCCTTGACGACTCGTCTGCGGGAACAAATGTCTTTTGACGACTCGTCTGGGGGGAAAGTGAAGGAAGATCCTTGGTCCATGACCTATTTGACACGAACTTCCGGGATGCGGGGCGTAGGTTGGAGGACGCTCGCTCGCTCTCTCTCTCTCTCGCGCGCGCTCTCTCTCTCTCTCTCTTGTGTTTCATGTTGACTGTCTAATTATACATGGATCATGACCACTGGTCTTCTCCAAGTTTGATTTTTAAGGAACATGAGTTCAGAGAAAATAGGTGGCAGCATCCTGGATGCACGTTGGTCCTCACTATGGAAAAACAAAAACATACTGAAATCAGAGCTGTTGAATAAAATAGAATTCCGTTGAATAGAATTATCTGCGCAGGTGGTGTCAGGTAGGCTGTGCAGGTCGCCGCAGCAACTGCGGTGGTGCACCGCCCCACTCGATCGAGCCAAGGTACCCCATCGGGCTTCTGCCAGATGTATCCTTGGTCACCCTACTGCATACAGCCCACCGCGCCTGTGGCGAGTCCAAGCGCTGGACTGGGGGAAGCAACCAGTGGCGCGTGGGGATCAGCGAAGGTGGTAGGATATTCATTCCTAAGGGAAGAACCCTGCCCATAAATCCGGTAGGACATCTCACCGATCACTACATCGTGCACCAGACATAACATATGTTCCCCTGTTGGATGTGTATTTTTGCCAGCACTTCAGCACAGACTTTGTTGGACCTTGTCCATTTGCAAGGTACGCCTCAAGCACTTTGTTCACGGGGGATAGGCCCGGATAGGCAAGCATCAGTAAGATGATGGGTAATCAGTATGACTTCGCATCAAAACGAAAGTGGGGGACCAAAGTGGACCAAAGGATCAGGGTACCGAACAAGATGATGGGTAATCAGTATGACCATGACAAGTATCAAACAAATGTTCGGTCCCCTGATCCTTGGTCCCCTGGTGGCCCTGGTTGCCTCCGGTCCCCGGTCCTTCTGAATGGTCCTTCTTCGGGTGAGTCGACCCCCCATTCCCTGGCTCCCTTAGTCTGCCGGTCTGGCCTTTTTAAAATCCTTATCGATCCTTATTTTCATCCCCTAAAACAATTTCTTTGTTTGATCCTTATCATTGTTTGTTGCTCGGACTGAAGCAGAGTATGGACAATGTTCAAGTGCACCGTGCACCGTGCTCCCTTTTACGCGAGAGAGTTGGACCCACATCAAGTGACTTGGTGGGTCATGTAGCCACGAGGAACAGAGGTTGGTGTTTGACCCGGCATTCTGGTTTTCGATGATCGATTGGCCCGCGACAAGTGCCGCCGCCAGGATACATTCCCCCTGTGCAGCCGCAGTATAGCGCACCGCAGGCGCCACAATATGCGCCACAATATGTGCCGCAGAGTTGCTCGGCTTTCACTCATCAGAAGGGGGAAAGGGATGAGTCTGCGCATGGAAACAGAGGGAAGATTCATGATCTATTGCTCCGTTCGTAGCGATGCCCTTTGTTCCTAGTAGCGATGCCAGGAGCTACTACTAGTGTCCTTAGTGGTTGCTGCATGCATTAAATATGTGGATATGTTCTTTGTGGGCCAAGAGCGGAGTCTATTCTGTGACCCATGTCTCCTATGCGGAGCTTTTTCGCAAGCAGGAAGCGCTACTGTCAAGGAAACCTTAGGGGACATGGAACACTTCTGTTGCCACCGGGCGAGTACAGAACACAGCAACGCGCTTTTGCAGAACGTCTTGGTTCTTGCTGAATGTTCAATGCAAGTGAGCCAACCTAAACGAAGACCCACACCATTTGAATCACCAAGTGCTTCAAGTTGAACCTACAGGCGGGCATAGAGGGAGTCTCGCTGACACCATCTAGCCTGAATCTAGCCTCCTTGATTCTTTGCGTGCGAACGCTGGCCACCTTGATTCGTTGTCTGTGAGCTGGCCACCTAGGTGCTAGCTGTTTTGGATTCCTCCGATGTTCTGCAAGAGCAAGACGAGTGAACATCGAAAAACCGGCCGTTTTCGGTGAAAACCCCGTGGTGAAAACGCTCGCTGCTCACCGAAACCGCCCCGAAACCGCGCGTCGCTTGCGTCAGCTCACCGCTCGGTGGCTCGGTTCCCAGGCACCGCACCCATGTCGCAGCTGCGACTCACACGCCGGGGTGGCTTAGATCCACCGGCCAAGGCGACCGAGGGCAAAGCAGATGATGAGGGGGCGGGCGGGCTAACTACTGGCCAAGGTGGAGACTCCCTTAGTAGAAGTGAGGGAACTTCAAGAACACTCTGAGGCAGAGCACCTTGTGGCAGATCACCAGGAGTTTGAGAGGAAACTGCACTCTTGGGGATGACCATTGAGTTGGATGGTTCCGTTGTTGCCTGGAGGTATGTGTTACGTTTGAGTTGGTTGGTTCAAACACGGAGGTCTGCCAGCTGGGGTTTCGGCAGATGAGAACATCCCACAATCTAGCAAGTGTAATCCAGCTGCGGTTTTGATTCTCAGACAAACCCAGAATAGTGCCCAGATGGCGTTTGTGGGTTCAATGGTTAGTTTGAGGTTCCAACCCCAGCAGCATGTGATACTCAGGACTTAACCAATGAAACCTCTCAACAAGGTTTGAAGAGTGAAGTTTGGTATTAGTCCAAAAGCTTTAACACCCTTGTCCGTTTTTTTTGCGCTGCAGCTGGTGACAGGCTCAGTTCTCAGGCTTCGGCCATTGTTGCTGTCCCCCAAGTCCCGTCATGTTGCAGTCAACAACATCTATGGAAATGCAACAATGCATGTCATTATAACTTGGTAATTTATTACAATCTCCAGTAGCCTCTGGAAAGGCCCGTCGATGGTGTGCATCCCTGTGGCAGGTGGATACCTACAATGGTGGTGCTTGGGAGGTGCTCAAACTGCCAGGAGATTTGAGATTTGCCACACATTTTGGGGTGTTTGTTCACTGAGTCTCCCCTTTCCAACCCGAGTTACCTTCTCATCCTTCTTATTTTCCAAGATGATTTTGAAGGCAAACTGTTTAATAAACTAGTGAACTCCACTGTGTCTTGGTAGACACGAAGCCATGATAGAGCCGCAGAAGTTGATGTCAACCTGTGACGACAGGAAAAAGGAGCATGCATTTCTTTGCTCTGGGCGACTGGGGTGGTTTGCTCGGCACGGGCTATGCGACCCTTGGCCGCGCTTGGCTTGCGCGGACGACGGACACCGCGCGATCAGCGCCACCGGTGTTTCGGTGTGTATTTTGTTTCAGAGCAAACACACCCAACACACTGCCATATCCATGTGGGTGTGTATTTCAATAGGGAGAGCCCCAATCTATGGGTTTTGGTCCATTTACCTTCTTCCAGGGGTTCTTTCGGAGGTCTCCCTATTTGAATACACATCCAAGTCTTTCCTATGTGAGAGCAAGTACTTTGGGATAGGACGCGGATGATTTCAAACGTTGGCTTTGTAAGGGAAACTTGCATGCCAAGGTCGCCAAAGAAGGCTGATGTTGGCTTTGATGAGGGTAGGTCATAGGTCTGTAAGGAAGACTGAAGAAGACGGAGGGCTAGTTGAAGTCACAGTAACTTTCGTTTATCCACCAACCCAGACAACAAACATGTAACATGTGTATACTGTTCCATCCACATGTGTTCTTCGCTCGCTTCGCTTCCTCAAATACCACGGTGTTTTCTTTTTTCCGGAAGCGATTGGTCATTGCCTCAGGCCCATGATCCAATATCGTAGTGGCCAGACTCCAGGGCCTCATACCATGGCCAGGCGTGGCGCCGGAATTGTTTCTTATTTGTTTTATTTTTCTGCTTGGGAATGGTCAATTTCCGCAGTGGGGAGCTTCCAACTCAGCTGTTACTCGTCCATTAGTGCTGGTATGCTTCTTCAGGCACCTGTGTGCGCCAGAATCCTTGCAACTGTGCATTCCACTCAACAGATCCAAGTGTCTGAAAGAAACATAGAAATGACATGAACTGGGAAACATTGCGGAGCGATGGCAGATCATGGCTGTTTCAACCAGCCCCCAAAAGAAACCGGTCTTCGCCCCGTTTGCCACGCGAGAACGGCCGTCTTCGTGCTGGACCGGGCAACCGAGTGACCAGGTGGAGAGGTCCGTGCAAGACCGACAAGATGATTGCGTGCTTCGCAGGTGGACCATGTGAGATGTGGGATGATGTGGGTGGTCTGCCAGAATGAACGATGAACTTGGGGGGAATTGGCACTCCAGACTCCTGGCCTCCTGGCCGGGCGACCCCCGAGCGCCTCATCCTGATCATGTTGATGTTCCTCCGGCTCAGTAAAAAGACCCTTCAGATGCCTGCAGTTCCGATGATCGCAATTTCCAGGAGATACTTGCGAGCAAAGTTGTCACTACGACCCGCAGGTGGACAGGCAAGGGGTTTTTGCCACGGGGCTGAGGGGAGGGAGGAGCTTGTTGTGTGACGGTGTGAGACATCGTAGCCATGGAATCCATTGTGACAAGCAGTTGTTTTGGTGGTGTCTTCAAAGACAGGGCTCTGCATGGCTCTGCAGGTTCTGCATGACCCTGCACAAGGAACCATGGATCAAATAAAAAGTACAAGAAATATGTTAAACAATCAAAAGACACACTTTTTTGACATACCATCCGATGCGTTGCCCCCTCGCGGCACTTCGCAGAATTGTGCAGTCGCCATCGCTCCCCGCCGAAGTGCCGCGCCTAGCCGTCCCAGTTTCGTCATTCGAGCAGCGGCCTGAGACCACGTTCTGAGACCGCGAGGCAAGCACAAGTCTTGGTGGCCACCCAGATGAAGAAACGTGCCCCTGGGACAGTGAGCATATCAGCTGACAGTCGTGGTTGAACGCCGGGACATTGGCGTGAACCCAGAGCCGTGAGAACCCAGAGTAAAAGGTGGTTGATAAAGGTCACCATGGTCAGAATCTTTATACAGTGAGTCTGGTGTTGCTTGGGAGGTGAGCCTAGAAAATCAGACAACTGCCATAGTGGCTTTCCTACTCAGGAGATTTGATTTCGTTTAGAGTTCCTCAAATGGGCCATCCTGAAGCCCATCCTGGCTTTTTTCATGTTCAAGCACTTTACTGTAGTAATTTTAGTACTTGTATCAGTTTGAGGACCGAATTCACACATAAGATTGGCTGGTTGTTGCAGATGAAGTAGCTGGGTGAGGGTGTGGTTGTATGAAACATTTTAAGTTGCCAGTTCCAAACCACACTTGCTGCTCACTGAGCTCCAGCTTTTTCAGGCTGCGCAGAGCCAACCCGACTTCATCGTGAACGTCGGAGACAACTTCTATTGGGGAGGCCAGTGTGGGCGGAGATAGTAATACACAGCCAAACAGATTTCGAGGCGGTGTATGGTATAAACCGTGTATCAAACTAGAGACCGAACCGCAGGCGTTCCGACCCCCCGGAAGGTTCGGGAATTAGAGCAAAACCCATGGAAGTTGGGAGGTCTCCCTATTATAATCTATACACCCATATACACACACATAGACACACCCATATATCCATAATTATACCTGATGTCTGCCAGCCTCGACGGGAATGGGTCGTTTCAGATTCGTCCCTTTTGCAGCGTCACGGGGCCGACCGTCTTGACCAAGTAAATGACTAGCACGTGTTTTTTTCCTATTCGTTTATTCGGTTCTCATGCATTGTTTCATGTGGATGGTGTCGCCTTGTGGTTGTGTCATGGGCTTGGGATGTGTCATGGGCTTGGGTTGGCTTGGCTTTCTCATAGAAACACAAGAGCCAGCGAACATGTACTGGGAAACATGCAAATAGCAAACAGACAATGTGAACAACTTTGAACATAGGAGACACTTGCACAAGCAATTGACCCTTTCAGAAGGTTTCTCTTTCAGAGGGTCGAGTGGCGGAATGAAGGCTTCTGTCAATCATCAAATCTAGTAGACCCCTCATTCTACTAGCACGGACCGTGGCAACTATCCTTCCCCACGTTCCGCATAAAGGGTTCATGTTCCATGCGTGAATGTTGTGACCAGTAGTGCAGTGGGTCTTGCAACAGTCAGTTGCAGTTTCTTGCTTCCCATACTCCAGCTTGGTTCTGGCACTCGGACTTGCTTCAAATTGCGACCTTGCCAGCAGACTGCTGGGGAATTTAAGGGGTGATAGTAGTCTAGTCTGTTCATGTTCGGTGGTCAAACAGGGTCCCCCAGTTTTGACCCACGGCCATATGGAGTCTGTGGAGACCAGGGGTTAAAAGATCTAAGTCGAGAACTTCAAGTGGCTCAAGTGGTTCAGCACGGCTTTTGCACAACACCGACTTGACCCCTGAGGAATCAACACCGAGCTTCCTGGCAGTACTTGGAGGAGAGACGATGTTGTGAACCGGGCACTGTTGTGGAGACCCTTGGACGTTTTTCTTTAGGGGGTGAAAGCATGGTTAAGAAGGAGCCAGTTGACCCGCCTTGGACCCACCTGGTGACTTTTGCGGATTGACCTTGTCTTGGGCTGCGGATTCACCTTTAGTCAAGCCCTCAAATTGGAGTCTTCCTGCACCCAAATTCATGCGATCTGCTCATTCACCCCCATTTCGCCACTTCGATCTGCAGTTGTTTTTCAACATAAAGTCATTGCCTGCTCCTTTCGAGGTGCGGCACTCCCATGAATCAGATTAGCGCTGTCACGCAGCAGCAGTTTACTGTCTCCCGGCCTTTGTTGGTAGTGCATGGGTTTGGGATGGTTTGGCCGTGGGCCTTCTGTGAGTGGCTGAAGCATCTGACTGCAGCGGATGCTGAATAAGCAGTGCTCTGCCCACATGGGCCGCTGAGGAGATCTTCGAGAAGATCTACGGTGGACCTGGCTTAGATGGAAAGCCCTGGTTGAGTGTGTCGGCTGGCTGAGCGAGAGTGAGGCAACTGGACTGGTTTGTTTCCCAGATAGATCAGGTTCAGGGACTTTGAAAGTTAAGCAGTCACCTAAGTTCGTTTTTGAAGTGGGTGAATCCATGTCACCCTGTTTGAGATCACACGGAAAACCCTGTGAATTCCGGGGATACAACACGCTCATCCTTTGCCAGGTCCTTTGTTATATATATATATGTATAGTCATGTATAGTATAGTCTAAGTTAAGTGTAGATCAAAGTAAGTTTTGTCGATCAGATTCTTGCCCAATGCTAGCCGGTCGCCGTAGGTCACCAGTTGGATCGACGGGATCACAAGAGTGATGTCTCTTCAAGTGGTGGACATATCTAAGGCCATATCTAATCCTATGGTTGCAGTTGGTACAGATGTACCTTCTTGCTGGAGCTTGAGGGACACACCCAGGGAAGAAAAACGCCGGGTGAAAATACATGGGCTCCGGAACATGCTGGTTTGCATAGCTGGTGTTCTGGAGGCATTTGAGGAGAATTCCCCCCATCAACTGAAAGATGGCGGTGCTCATCGAAGCGCAGCTTGAGGCTGGGAAACCATGATTGGGGTGGCTACCAGTTCAACAAGGCGTGAGATTGTTCAGTTGCGACTGCTTCGAAGCGGAAACAACTCCTCGGTCTGGTTTCAATCTCCTTTTCGGAGCTTTGAACCCCAACAGTAGATCACTAAGGTGGATGAACCTTCAGAGCTACAGCAGCTACTTAGTCATGGTTTGTTTGTCATTGTTTTTGTTGGAACATCTTGTTCTCACGTGAGGCTTGGGACCAACAGAACCTTGGCAGCCTCTTTCTTTTCTCTCGGCTACGTGAGTCGGACTCGAGAGAGGCAGGGGCAGAGAGAGGCACCCAGCAGAGGTGGACACCAAGGCAATTGGTCTACACCCCGCTGCCGCTGCCTGGTGGAGTAGAACAATCATTCTGGGCCTTTCTTTTCGTCTTTCTGGAACTGCATGTTTCAGCTTTCTGGTGCTTTTGGGAAGCTGCTCTTGTTTGGCCACGCTTCCCCACATCCGACCGTCCCACAGTGATTTTGCCCAAGAGTCATTAAAAGCCACAACGGCTGGTTTGTCTCATCGAACAAAGGATCAAATCCATTTAGAACATCCAACACTTTCTCAAGATTCCCTTTTTCTTTCAGCACTTGACCGCTCGCTTCACTCGAATATTCTTACATCGAGGATCGCGTATACCTGGGCATCTGATCGCTGGAGACTGCCGGCGCTCTACTGGATGCAGCGGGTGGAGTATCCGGACTTGGCACCTTGGTCGACGGAACCGACCAGACAGTTTCAGGGTTCGCAGTTCACCGAGCGGACGTAGACTCAGCAGTGCTACTGTATTAAGGGATGGTGACAGGACATAGTTTTTGAACGTTTTTCTTGGTTTTCGAGCAGCTGTACTGGTGCTGAAGAACGTTTCGCGGTGGGTGTCTAGCTGAAAGATTGAACACAAGTACTTGAGAATTCCTCTGCGAAGTATACCTTTGCTGGTGTCAAGGATTGACTGAAGTAAATTCAACACTCCCAACAGACAAAGATCGTCCCCGAAGCCCTAACACCACTTGTTCGTAGAAGACATCATTTTCAAGGCCAGGCAGGGTGTGTCTTTGTCATGGAGGGCCCTCCACAAACGGTTTCGGAAAACGCACAGTGAAACTATCCGAATCCTTCAGGATTTCAGTGCCGAGATCTTCATGATCGACAGCAACGCCATGGATGCCACTTGGTGCAACAGGCGGAGCTCGGTTGAGATGCAGGCTGTCAAGTGAGACCCAGGTGCACTGGGGCCTCTTGGAGGCCTAGTATGGGTTCCGAGCCACGTCAAAAGATGACCCTCTCGCTGGCAAGGGTCCGTTGGGGGAATTCATGCCCTTGGGGTTGGGTTTTCTGGGGCTTGTCTGCACTCTGGATAAGAGAAAAGGGAGACCCGTACCCTGGTCTCAAATCTTGACGCGCAACACATTGGTAGACATCCGGTGTGTGGTGTGTTTTATTCAGGGGCCATGCTCAAATCAGCTTGTGTCACAGTTAGAAATGCAACAAACCGTTTTGTAATTTACAACAAATCCAGTGGTCCTGGCAAAGATCGTGTCTCTTTGTTTTTGCACTGTTGAACCTGGTTGATCCTCCCAACCTTGCAGGTGAAGCCCATGCATGCGGATCCTGAGCACAACATTTGCGGTGACTTGAACGCTTCATGGGAACAAAGTATGGCAATTGAGAAGACTCTGACCCGGTCGACCCCCACTCGCACGACGGTTGTCGCATGGGAGAGGTTGGTTGCCACCGCCACCCCAAAAAATCCTTGGCACGTTTGTCACATCGCTGGGTAAAGGATGGTGAAGAGAAGAAGAGTTTGCTCGTGAGTTTCCCGTCTTCGAGCTCGGGCCTACATGGGCATTTCATGCTCTACATGGGCCAACCACGACACGGTTGACACGGTGGAGGTTTTGCTTGTAAAAGGTCTTCAGATGGGACCGGTCATTTGTGTCAAGATACCTCATTGACCTCATCATCAAGGGGTTCGTGATGGTTTGTGGGGGATTTCCCCCAATTGAGGAAATCGGACAGGTCAAAAGAATAAAAGGACAAATGCTGGATTCCCTGAGTAAAAATACTGGGGTTTTCCTGGACACTCTGCTGTAGTGGCCCCCCAAGAAGTGTTGATGAGTGAGAACATGATTAATACCACGGCTTGGTTTTTGAAGCAACTTGATGAGTGGTCCGTCAACGGCACTTTTGATGGCAACATTCTAGTGAATGGACGGTCGTTTCGTCGGAGGACGGCCCCTAAACGTTTAGAGGCCAATGAGGATGATGTAGACCAATCACTGCAACATTGATCTTGGCAATCAGCTTGTTGTTAGGGGCAAACATTACGCGAACGGTTAGTTTGAACAAGTCAGAACTTAGCAGGCGATATATACTTTCCTGAAAGCAGCTCCGGAATGAATTTCTGGGGTCCGCAATTCTACTTCTGAGAGAAGTGGTTGCTGAGGACAGCTGCACAACCCCACCAATGCTCGTTGCGATGCAACTGGTGGTCCAGCAAATCTCAAGGCTGGCTGGTTTCTGAATGAGCCAAGGGATGCTTTTCAGACTTGGATGCAAAGACCGCATGACTGCGATGTGATGTGTCAAATACCAGGAGACTGTTCCTGTTTGGTGTATACAATGGCGCCTGCAACAGGCCTAAGGCTCCAGCAGGAGATGCCTTTTTGCTATTCAGTCAGAAAGACCGTGGCAAACACTCAGACCACAAGATCTAAGGCCGAGCCTCATTAGGTTGGAGGCCATCGCTCTTAGGTTGGTGGCCATTGCTAGTAGATTGGAGCCTCAACTCCCGAGATCCAAAAGCATCCAAAAGCCTTCTTTGATGGAATCTCCCTAGGCTTTCCAATTGAAAGATTGCCAGTGCATTCGGTACCCACACACGCTGCTCGCATACCAGGATTGCTTTAGCTGGATGTGGTCACTCTGGAGAGAACAGAAGAAATGGGTTCAGCAGAAACTCACTGAGTCTAATGCAACTTGGCTGCAACTTGGCTCACTTCAAAGCATCGAAACAGACTTTCAAGTGAACACTCTGTCACTGAACCTGGGCCGTAGACCAGTGGGTGTGGCAGACCAGTTTGGCCGTCCAACAAATCACCTGAAGAGCAACGGCTCTTTTGGAGGACCGTTTCTGATGCTCTCATAGCTGCCATTTTCGACTTATCATAAGACTTGGAAGAGACTGAACTAAAGACACATTCTTCTCTTGAGTTACTAATAGCGATGGCCTCCGACCTAGAAGCAATGGGCGCCTCCGAGCTACTAGCCATGACCTCCCCCTACTAGCAAGACAGCTATCATAGCTGCCGAACATGGCTGAACACTTGAGGCCAATTGGCAGATCGTGGCCACGCATTTCAACTGTGGACACGAGGCGATGAGAATTTGTGTCTTTTTTCTTAGAGATGAATGATGGTGAATGGTTCCAGCTGCGCGGCCACCAGGTGTTCTTTCAAATCAATCAAACATTACACCCAGAAAATTGTGGGGGATCTGAAATGGTATACTGTAAATATGTATAAATTAATTGTGAACAGTGGCAGATTGAACCGACTCACTTAAAATCTCCTGGTTCTGGATCAGAGTTGATGTGTTATTTCATTTTTGGGGGAGGAAGGAAGAGAGCCAATGAAACTTCCAGTTGCCCCTCACAGCGCCGTGTCTCTTAAAGTGCTCGCTCGGTAGTGGCCATCATGCCGTTGTGGCCAACTCGATGCGCAATGATGCACAGAGAGGAAGCGGAGGAAGCCTTTGCTGTTTGTGCCGAGGCTCAATGGTACAAGGAGCTGCATCAGAAGTATGGTTTGGATTTGCTGATCACAGGACTGGGCACCGGGCAAGTAACAGCCTGGCATTCCCAGCTTGCCAGCGGAGGTCAAACATGAGGACTTGTTGTGCGAAGATTGCATCCCAAAAGCAGATGGTTATGAGTAGATCTATTGTTGAACTGTTGCTGCGTCGGACTGCATTGCTTCCTTCGAATCCTTCTGCTGTGCATCACGGCATGGTCCGGACCATGCAGTGGATGCCATTGACTGATACTCTTGGATCCTTTGAGCCAACACATTGCTGGAATCAGGAGAAACTACGTGTCAGAAGTAGATGGCATTGATCCCAAGATGTCTTCTATATTGGTATATGTATATATATATATAAACCACAGAGCTTGGGGATTGTACCATCTACTCTGAATCCACTGTAACTGAAAGTGAGAGAAGACAATGTGTGAGCCTGCTTGCAGGACATACCCATGACCAGCAAGTCTATCACGAGTCTGGAATGTTGGGAGGCCGGCCGCGAGAAGCATGATTCGGCTCATTCGTAGATCAGTTCAGATCAAGCTGACCACTGTTACTGAGACTGTCAAATTGGTCTGAGAAAGAACCGATTGGTTGAGGAAAAGTGCGACATTCCCTGTGGACATTGGAGTTTGAGCGGCTTCAAACGGGTCCAAACAGTTCAAACAGTCCATGTCTAAACGATCCCATGTTAACATCACACACAGATGATCTCCGAAATCCACCTCTTTCACGACGCCCATGAAGCTCCACCATCCATTCGACGCCCACCTGGGGTGGCTGGGGTGGCTGTGCAGGCCTCACCTGCTTCATCACCGGTGGTGGAGGTGGGATCACCTCAGAGGCAGATCCATCTCATCCGAAGAGTAACCAGTATGGCCACTGGGTGCTGATCATCGGGGGGATCCGCTGGTGTGGAACTTACTTAAGCTGTTTAAGAAAAAGAGGTTTCATGCATTTGTCACTGTTTCGAGCGGTTGGAGAGAGGTCAACTTTGGTCCATTTCCATTTGAAGCCTACATGTACTTGCTCTGGTGACTTGGTCTCCTGCAAGTCGAATATCTTCGGGGCACCAAGTCACATGCAATCCCACAACAGGCGTCGGCTGCGCAGCGTGCCCTGAAGATGTTTGATGTTTCTTTATACACCTTCGCATCCCCTCTTCTTTTGTTGCACACAGCACTTGTATTCAAATGCTGCAGCTTAGAAGGACATCGCCAGTCTTGTAGAGTTTCCAGGGCCAAGTCAAGCCGGCCACCCGAAACTCCGCAGAACACATGTGTTTGTTGTTTCGGGCAGTGACCTGGCTGTGAGCTAGTGCGGGACCTCGAGGGTTTGGTAGAAACAAAGCTTCTTCGATTGGCCGGGATATGGATCTGAGGCTTCTTCGACATATCCATCACGAAGCAGCAGATCCTTCTTGAATCCATCAACTACCGAGGAGTTGCTTTGTTGGAACAATCCATCGTGCCGAGCAAGTACAGATGTTCCTTTTATATGCTTTTGTGCCAAAGTTCGTTGCGTGGGAAAGAAGACAAGCAACACAAAGTTTGCCATGGGCCATGGGGATGATTTTTCGTTTATTCTTCATTCAAGGACCAGCCTCTGGAATCCCATGGTATTTGATGTTCATGTATTTGAATTTCAGACTTTATTGAGTTTTCTCGCTTCCCTGAGGTGATCTGGCCTTGTATTTTTAGCAGATTTCCTTAACACCCTACCGAAATGGCATGTTTCGTTTGTCCAAACAAGGAAACCTTGGGCAAGTATGCGGTGCGCCCGAAAGCAAGAGCTCTTTGAGTTGTGGGTGACTGAAGCCATAGGCTGGCACTTTCCAACACCTGGAGGTGGGTGCGATCGAATTGAGATTAGAAGAAGGTTTGCCTTTGAACATTTGCAGCCAAAGTGCTGTTTGCTGGCGAAAGAGCCAACAACCAACCATGTACATTGAAGAAGATAGAATACGAGGGATTTTGATTTGATATTCGAAGAAATTTGGATCCGCCCTCATTCATTAATATATTCGATTACCTCAATTAGTTCCTTCAAAATATAATCTAAATTACAATAATATATGAGATAATATATATATATATATATATGTATTTGAGATTTAAATATGATATATTAATAAGAATGAATTATATGAATTCCGATTAATTTAATTGTAATAATAATAATTTGTGCTAGATGAAAGATTTTTTAATAAATAATTAATTGGGTTATTTTTATATATTTTATTATATAATATAGATATTGGTAGATTTGTATTATACTTATTGAAAGAATAATTATGATTGAATTTTTATTTATATATTATATTATATTAATATAAATATTTTATTATATAAATATATTTAATTATTTAAAAATACAATATGTTATAAATTTATATATTTAATATATATTTAATATTTATATAATTTTAGGATGAATTTATTATTAATTGAATTATTAATAGGAATAATTGAAAATTTTAGATATTTAATAATTAATTAAAACATAAAATTAAATTAATTTGATAATAAATATTATATTAATTTATATATATAAAAATATATTAAAGATATTTATATATATTATATTTAAAATATAAATATTTATTGAATTAAGATATATATATAAATATATAACTAAATATATATGGGAATTGATCGAACATATTTTATAAGGAATTTATTTTAGATTATTTTTTAAAATATAAAATAATTCTTTTCGCGAAAAAGGACATTATTTATATATATATATATTTATCGAATTGATAGAATAAAGAATTTTAAGGCAATTTTTTGGCAGAGATGTTAGGCGGAAATATTTTTATATATTATAGATTGGGGAATTGGAACCTCTATATTTGCGCACCCAGCTTGGCAAATTTGTAGAATTAACAATTTGAATAGACCCATGGAAAGCACCAATGAAATTTTGCGAAAGATCCGCGAAAATTTCGCGAATGTATCGTTGAAATCCCTTAATATTTCCTAAATTGCATCCCCCTGTATTGGTAGTTGGCATGAGGATTGGGTTGAAATATGATTGATTTTATTTGGGGTAATTGTGGCACAGATGCTGCAAATGACCCTGAGTAACGGAGGAATCATTCAAATTTTTATTCGGATTATATTAGGTAGACATAATTATCGGACCAAGCTTTGCGATGAGGTCGCGAAATATCCGCGAAAAATATCTTTCTTTTTCCGAGAAGAATGGCCGGATAAAAGAATATTGATTAATTCGTAATATACATATTTAGATTTTTTAAAGAATTTATTATATATCGATTATATTAATAGAAGAAATATGTCATAGGTAGCCACGCATTATCGAAATTTAGACAATTCTTGGAATGATTGCATATATTTCTATTATTTTCTTAGTACCGTAAGGTTACGTAATATGCTACGAGGAGGGGCAAGGCTAATAGATTTTTTTTTTTTTTTTTTTCCAAGATATATAATCGACTATTATATGCAAGACGTCTTCAAAATTTATTCGGTACCTCATTTATAAATTAAATATTCAACAATTACAAAATTCCTCTAAAATATTCTTTAATTCATATCGTTTGCCTATATACGTCCAAAAATTTTATACCAGAGGTATTCATTATCTTGTTATAACAATGCATCAACCCCTCAATCGCAATGGATATTTGGAGATCGTCTTCGGCGATCATTCATATCAATAAAAATTCGCCCGGAATCCCGGTAGCTCTGAGGCTAATTTCATTCCAGACCAATCATTTCTCCTGCAATCTCAACCTTATCAATAATTGACACTTTGTGGGCTATTTTCTCCGCAGGATTCAGAGCCAAAGCCGCAATAAACCGGTCTACGAATTCGACCTCCAAATAGTGTAGCAGCTGGTCTTCTCTTAGGAATCATTCATTGCCCCCTCATCTCTTCTTGGAATCAAAAAATTCCTTGAATTCGGATTGCCGTTGAGGCTTCTTTATCCCTGTGTGTTTACATTCACGGCGTTTCCGCCGAGATTGGGATAGGATTTTTCCTTGGCATTCTATATTTTCTTATGATTCTATAATTTCTATAATTTCTTATGATGTTTACGAAATAAACAATAAGGAAATAGATCCCTCTCCATCTCCTTTTCGTCCTTACCTATCTTTTCTCCTCTCTTCGGGGTTTCTTCTTCATTAGATTCCTTCTCGGATGCCTCCTATCCTTTCTGTATTTGAGGTGTTCGACAAGGGGGAAATATGAAGGTCTTCGGAAATATAATCTGCAAATTAGCCTTCCCAGAATAGAATATATTGATTTCATTTAGAATTTCTTTTCATTTCCTACGTGCTAATAGATTGGTCTCCTCCTTCTTTCTCGATAGATCTCTTGTTATTTTCATCTGTTGTTATTTTCTCCTCTGGGAGAGATAAATTCGGCCGCGGAAAAACAGATTTCGATCGCTGTTTTGCTTTTTAGTAAACCTCGTATATTCCTAGAACCTGCTACCACGGCAATTTCAAAGGCAATTATTATCCCATGGGGTGGCATGGTGTGCATAGCTCTACGCAACCATGGGCGAGATACTGGAATTCATTCCAGATGATTTTGATCTGGAAGAAGATCCGTCGGGTCAATCTGAAATCGTCAAGGAACGACACTATCTTGACAAATGGGGGTCGCAGCCCACAGGCAGGAATTATTGCGCTACACTTGGCCATAACCTCAAGAGCAAACATGATAATATTTCACTCCTATTTCGCCTTCGCATTCGAGACCCTGTTAGCCAGCCTCCACAAACAATTGTTGAGGGCCGATTGAGGGAATAACTTTGCAATGGCCCTTAGCTTTGCTCTGCTTTGCCACTTTCTTTTTTGCTGCATGGATTTGGTTAATATTGTTTTCGATTAATCCAACATAGCAACGAAAGCGGAAGAATTCTTACAATTATATAATCATTTAGGACCTTACGACCCTATCACCGAAAAGGCCTAAACCAACAAATATCGCCGCCAATCCAAATAAATCATTCCCAATCAATCCACAGAATTCCAAAAATATATTAATTTCTTCGATCGCCACGCGACATCTACCTAGGACAAAATCGAAATAATTCCACAATTCCGAATAAATGAAAATACGTGCCTGTTTATACGCCTCAACATAATATATATCTTATTAATTCAAATAAAAAACAATATCATATCGATATTCAATTTAAACCAAAATTACACAAACGGACAATTTTATTTTTATTACGAAATCATTTTGATATTACCAAAATTGATAATATTCATATATAAATTCCTTTTAGATTTAGTTATTTAGATTATACCCTAAAAAATAAACCAACATTATTCTATTCACCTTTAACGATCAATCATTGATTATTAAGGATTTACATTATAAAATCAAATCAACCGGGCAAATAATCTTCAATATCCAAAGATATATCTCTTTAACATTAAGATATTCCATATCATTTGCCAATATTTAACAAAATAATCTATTGATACATAGAATTTTACCATCAATAAATATATATAACAAACTAATATATACACACCCAAAAACCAAATACATAAACATCAAAATACAAAAACCCCCTACAACTATACAATAGAGAAAAACAACACAACGAAAGGCTTTTCCAACAAAAACAACATTATTATATTCTATTATGTTTTTCATATAAATTTACAAAAAAATATATGTTTTAAATCCATAAATATCATCTAAAATATTGCGCTTTCATATTTTCACATATATTAAAGAGAGCTCGAAGTTATGCAGGTGTATTTTTTACGCGTTTTTGTGGTTTTTTCTTAGATTAGATTCTGTCATGTTTTGAAAGAATTTGCACGGTTGCGGTCTAGATATGTTCTTGTGTTCCTATTTCCCAATTAAGCCAACTCTTCAATTTTTTTAATCAACCTCTAGATCCCACTTTACCCTTCCTTGCCCATAAGCATTTGCATTATTTCAAAGATAGCCTTTTTTGGATTTCTCCACCCACATTCTTTATGAAATGGAAAGAAGATCATTATCTTGAATAACATGTACCCACCAGGCCGAAAAAGAATTGAATAGATTTTCTTAATATTGGATGACTAATAGGAATTGTATTTTATATGGTATTCTTGACGCCCATACCCATAATAAGCCTTATCCTCACTCTCAGGATCATAGGGAATCATTCCGCGAACATTAGGAATTTATATTCTTTCCTTAAATTCGATTGGATCAATCCTGTTCATTTCCATTGCTCTCACCCAATGGCTCTTCAGATCTATGCTCCATATCCCCCCATTTACGACGAAATCTTCCAAAGAATCTTATGAAACCCATAAAACGATCCAACCATAAATACACTAAGGGTCTAAATTTGCTATATGACCATTACTTATTCCCAAATTCATGAAAAAGATATCTTATTTTCACCCCAATTTTCTTATCTATAAGACACCCATGAAAGCAGATTGCAACCAATCCGGCATGCTCACCATATTTCCAATATTCATCCAATATTGCCAAGGACATTAATCACCCCATATATCATGGTTCAATTTCTCACCATAATAAAACAATAATTTAGGCAAAATCATATTCTACCGATAATATGTATTATAAAAATAAATTAATATTATTACTAATAAATAAATCATTTTCTATTAAATTACCTAATCATCCATAAATTCATTTCCACCAAATATTTTATACATTAATCCCCATCATTAGTTACCCATAATTTTATAATATCCATATAATTTTAACAATCAAATTATCATTAATATTATATTTTTATATGATATATTCATTCAATAATCTATATAAAAATCAATATTTATATATTTTTTTACAATCGTCTGCAAAACAAAACATATATCTTCATTATATACAAATTAAATTAATCATTCCTATTCCATTGCAATAATCCAATTCATAAATAAATTAATTTATTAAAATCTAATTACATTTCTATAAATATAATTATATTTATCCCTTTAAAAATCCATCAAATATCATTTATCAATAAATCCCATCAATATCAATAAATCCATAAAATATCATATCATATATCATCAAATCA